ATTTTTTTTTTCCTCCATTTTAGGTGCCTTAAGTTGAAACCCCCCAGGAGCAAGAGTTGGTGCGGAGCTGGGAAGATTTTCCAGACTGGGTCAATTTTTAACAGCTGTTCCTGGAATTGCTGGGATGTTGCATCTGGAGGCTTGTAGACTACCACAATGACTAGGTTTTGGTTCTCGACCTTTACTGCTAAAACTTCCACTACATCATTTGAGGCATTAAGCAGTTCTGTGCAAACAAGTGACTCTGCAATGTACAGGCCAACCCCCCCGTTTTGCTGTTCCACTCTGTCACATCTGTATAGGTTGTTAACCTGGGATCCATATTTCATTGTCAAGTGATCCTTTATGTGGGTCTCAGTGAAAGCCACGAACATTCCCTTTGCCTCTGCAAGCAGTCCACAGATGAAAGGTATTTTGTTGTTTGTTGCTGGCTTTAGACCCTGTATATTTGCAAAGAAGAATGTCATTGGACTGGTGGTATTGTTGGTACTGGGGGGGGGATTTTTTTTTCCGGCATTTAGTATCTGTATCTGTTGGTTTGGAGTGGAGGCCATTGACTGTGGTTCCACTCCAGGAATGACTGGATTTGGTGTACGATTTCTGCCATTTCCTGCCAGTTTTTCTTCCTTCCTGGCACTAAAAAACCTCTCCCTCTTGAGTGGCTGTGGCTACCCAGGTTTTCCCATGGCCTGGATGTTTTGTATCTTTTTGTCCCCTTTAGATGGTGTGCCTGGCAATTTAAGTTATAGCAACAGTCTTTCCTGTAATGAAGAGGTACACAGTTCAGGGTGAAAAAGCTTACAGGAAGGGAGTTTGCATTTTCCTGTTGTCATACGGGCATGGCATTTTCTAGGGTGGTCATAGTTGCACGTTCCATCTGTTTTTCCAGATTTCCCATGCCTGCAGATACCAAGTGCATAGTATGTGCACAGGCTTGGTTTCCGTTTGCCTTGGGTTTCTGTGACTGTATTCCCTGTTGGTGCATGTTTCCCTGTCTTATTCCTATCCTCCCTAGCACCAACAATGGAGCTCCCACCAGTTGTTTTTGGTAATATATCCTCACTATTGCTAGTGGAGTCCTCTTGTTTGCTATTTCCTGTGGTATTTCTAGTTTGCAATATTGGTTTTATCTTATCTTTGACTACACTTGTTTCCCTACTATGGCTCCTGTCCCCTATGAGGTCATTTATATGTATTCCTTCCTGCGTATAATTCCCGACTACCTGGACAAAATCTCCAGCTTCACCATTACTGTCTCCTGATGTGTTGAAAGAAAGAAAGATTATTATTATTTACATTATTCATATGGCATCCTCAAGACTAATAAGACACTCCTAGTGATTTTAATGTATACCTGAACACCAGCACAGTGTGTAAGTTTATTTAGGTACAGGTACACATAAGTATAATTATCAGAGTACGGCCTCTCCTCACTTAGCGACGTACTCGCTTACTGATGCCTCGGCCTTATGACGGGCTCTCTGACCAGTATTTATACCTAAATAATGCATATTAGAGGTGATTTTCTCGATTCTGTTTATTTCAATATACAGTACACTACTGTATAAACATTTAAAAATATACTAGAAATGTTATAAATGATGCGAAGGTGACATTAAAACAATATCAAAGATGGTTTTTAACTACCTCTATTTAATCACAACAGTTACCTAACTTTAATATCAGTATGCTCCATAACCTGTGTCAATATAGAGTATGAATTAGTATCAGTCTGCCCGAAATGCCTAGGCATGCCAGTGGCCTTCTCTGTAATTCATATTTTATAATTTGTAAACCACAAACTGTAATTAATATTCTATTATATGTAAACCCCACATTGTAATCTTTGCAATTGAAATGTTTATTTCTCCATAATTATAGTATACTCCTCACTTAGTGACAAATTCGTTTAATGACGTGGCCTTAGGAATGGAACTCCTTTGTTAATTGAAATAACTTTAAAACATTTGAAATTCTAGAAAGTTTCCAAGCATACTGAAGAGACGCAGAGCTCACAGAAAATGTAAACAAACTGGGTGGGGCTCAGTGACCATATTAGAAAGTCAGGCAAGGGGAGCCGTATAACAACTTTTGGTCATAATTTGAAATGTCCGTATTAGTGTTCTGCTAATATGGACCCTACTGTATAGGGTTTGCTACTATCCATGGTTTTGGTATCCACCCCCGTGGATATGGGGGTCCTACTGTATTGCTAACCTTAAAATATTTTTGCTTCGCTAATATGGCATTTTAGTGCTGTATTAGCAAAGCGCTTTAAAGCAAAGCGCCTCAAAGCAAAGCGCCTCAAAGCAAGAGACGCCTGTATGAAGTTTTCTGAGTGAGGTCATGATTTATAGGTAAGAAGAATAATAGTTTCCAATGAGATTTTGATGTTGCCATGACAATTTTGTTTTTTAACCCTTTGACTGTTTTCGACGTATAAATACGTCTTACGAGCCAATGTTTCTGACGTATATATACTCAATAATTCTAGCAGCTTCAAATCAAGTGGGAGAAAGCTGGTAGGCCCACATGTGAGAGAATGGGTCTGTGTGGTCAGTGTGCACCACATAAAAAAAATCCTGCAGCACACATTGCGTAATCAGAAAAAAAAAACTCTGATCGTTTTTTTGGAATAAAACGCCGACTTTGAGGTGTATTTTCGTATAGTATTTATCGTTGTATTCGCGTTTTCATGGTCTTAGGTGATAAAATGGAAAACATATTACAGAAATAGAGATGATTTTCTTTACTTTACGATGAAAACGACCTTGAAACTGAGCTCAAAGTAGCGGAAATGTTCGATTTTTACCAATGTTAAAGAGTACATAAATCACACCACACGTCCAATACACGTCAACTGGGGATCTATATTCTTTCACTAGTGCACTGTATATTTTATACCATTT